GTTGCCGGTCCCGGTGTCGAAGTTGGCGGATGATATGCCGCTTCCATCGGGCGTGTGGGCGGGAGCTGCGGCCGGCTGGCGTGTGGGCGAGGCGGGAGCTGAGGCCGGCTGGCGTGTGGGCGGGGGCGGGAGCTGCGGCCGGTCTTTACATTTAAAATTCAGTTATATGTGTAGCTACCCCGAAAATAAGACCTAGCGCTATCTTCAGGGATTTCTGTAATATGACACACCCTGAACTAGGTCTTATTTTCGGGGTAGGTCTTATATTACAGAAATCCCTAAAGATATCGCTGGGTCTTTCTTTCGGGGTAGGTTTTACTTTCGGGGAAACACGGTAATATGTGTAGGTGCAATAAATGAGGAAGATGGAAATTATGGTAAACAAACGCAGAGCAAAATTGCTCCGGTCCACAGGAATGGAACAAAAATTCTAAAGCTGTGCCACTAAGGGGATACAACATTTTTTCCAAACACAATGTGATTGCTATAATTTTTCTTTTTGAAAGGCTTTCCCCATACTAAATGTTTTTATGACATTCCAGCATTTCAATGGTCAGCTTAGTATTGCATTTTCAGTGGGAATCAGGCATTGAATCCTTAAGTCTCTCATTGTGAATTATTAGTTTGTAGTAAAAAAAAAAATAGTTCAAGCAGATTTCTAGTGCCCCTTTCACCTAGACATTGTTCAGATCCGCCTGTCCGTTTTTCAGGCGGACCTGACCGGAAGTTCAGTGTTGGACTGTGGACAAGCAGATATAAATGGACATGCATGCGTTTACCTCAGAGTCCGTCTAGGTCCAAAAAAACAACAGTTTTTGTGGACCTGAACACGACATATTGAAGGTAAAAAAATTCAACCTGACTTAAATGTGACATCCATTGTGTTGTGCTCTGATTTAGCAGGGGGTCAGTTCATGAATCCCCTGCTGATCGCAACAGAGACTGCCAATGTGAAAGGGGCCTTAAGTACTGTATTTACAATTGTAATAATGATGATCCGGTGTATTTTTAAATTCAATATTCGTTTTGTTTTTGCATGTGCAATAATAGATGCATTTGGAATCATTTGAGAGCCTTTTACATGAAGCCTCTATGTATGTTGCAATACACACAGCACCACCAACAGGCAGCTTAAGTCATTAATGATACATTATTGCATATAAGACATTTCTAGCCCAATCTTTGTACAGAAGAGATTTGCTGATTTAAATTGTTAGTGTGAAAAGCTATATATGAACAAGTACTAATTCACAACTGAATTCAATTCAAAATGTGCATGTTCCCATACTAATGGTTGCCACACATATGTTACACAAGTTACAATCATTAACCTTGTTTTTTCTTACCACATTAGTCATCTCAATGCCAGTCTTCAGTAAACCAGTCTGAAGATCAGAAAGCTGCAGAAGCAAGTAATGAACAGGAGAAAGAAGTGTTCCAAAATCGAAATGAGCCAAGAAGAGTGAAGATATTTGATGGAGGGCAAGTATTTTTAACTCCATTTTCTCTTTCTTGCTGGCCTGCTGGAAGTGATCACTGCATGTGCTGATACTTCCCCCATGTGCCCATATGAGATATTAAATGACTTCACTACTGATACATCACACCTGTCAGAAGAATAGGTGGACTGCATTTGCGTAAACCCTTCTAAAAATATGTTTTGGCTCAGCTGTATTTGCTTTGTTACTGTTTGAACGCCTAATCCACCAGTATGCCACAAGGAGTCAGACTAAATTCAGAACTCCTGCTCATTTGGCACAATTGGTCTGGATCAGTGACTTTGAATAACTGAAGCCGTGATCAGTCATGGGTCAGCATGATAGCTAGCCAAGTATAATTTTCAGAAGGAGCTAGAAATGAGAGCCCCATGTCCTTTTAACGAGTACAAGTACTCGGGAAAATGCCTGGTATCGGCTAGTGAGCAGTAGATATATGCTCCAACATTAAAAAACAAAATTTGGACAACACCAACAAATGTACCTGTGTCAGCCCTGCTTGCTCCTGGCAGCAGAAGTCCTGGCTTCCGAACGCTGTGAAGAATGAAGTGTGGGCGGCACATGTGCAGTCCATATCTTTGGGGGGGAGAGGAGGAGAGCAACGCTAAAGCTGGATGGACGCAGCCAGGAATGTGCACGTCGGACAGACACTGTGGGACCCAAGGAGTCTGCGGCGGATCAGAGACCGGCACCAGCGCTGGAGGGACTGTGGAAAATAAGTGGAAGGAAGAAGCTGTTCGGATCAAAAGGCATCATATTATGCAAGTCCTTATAGCAGCATTGTTGAAAGGGGGGGGTACTGTCTTTAATGTCACTTTAACATTTATTTAAGTGCAGTGTACCTAGCAATGAAGTCACATTTTTAACCACTTCAGCTCTTACACCTGTGCACTGCCTTTGGACCTAAGCACATTTTAATTTATGCTATGGGCCTCTTTATTAAGCAGTAGTTTTGGTATTACTTGATATCACATGATTCAGAGACAATTGATGTAACCCCTTCTACTCCTAGCGTTTTTAGAATGATAGATGTCTCTTCTCTACTGAGAAAAGTGTAACCATTTTTACTAACAATTTTTGACTTTGCTCAAAATTATTTTGGCTCCGGTCAAGACTTCCCCAATAAGCTGCTTGCTCCCATCTTTGTATGCAGCTTCATGGATCATTGTAAACTCAACAGTATCTTTAGAGCCCGTATCTGGACTTTTTCAGGCACAGGGCTCTGCATTTGACACTTTCCAGACCTGTGTGTTGGCCACAGAATGTTTTGCAAGTCCAAAGGCATAAGGCGCACTGCCTGTGGTGGGACCCAATCTCTGAAGACTCTTTAATGAGAAGGCCATGTGGGCTGGACATCGGGAGCTTTTTTTCTAAGATGTATTGGGAACAATAATAATCACCTCCATGAAAGGGATGAAAAGCTGAGGAAGGAACACACTCAGCACTTTTTATCTACCATTCAGCATTGGGTAGCATCTTCCTGCTACTGCTGCTCCTAGTTGCAAGAGACATGGGTTCCACCTTTGTTAGTCCTTGCTGCCACTCACAATGAACTGGTCATCTCTGCCCTTTTGAACGTTTCTGGTCTTACACAATGACTAGGTGGATTTAAGACTTAGATCCTCCTTCCTTCCCAAGGTGGTTTCTGCCTTTCACCTCAGACAGGGATTGCTTCCATCCCTCTGCTTCTGCTAAAAAGACGGACTCCCTCTTTGTTATACTTGATGGTCCTCACAAAGGGAAGCCAGCTTCACAGTCCACCATTTCTAGGTAGTTCAGAGAAATCATTCCTATGGTCTTAAGGATCAGGTTCTACCCTTTCCAGTCAAGGCTCATGCTACTAGATATGAGACTTTTTGGCATCGGATGTGTTTCCCAGATATGTAATGCTACCACCTGGTCTTCTGTTCACACATTCTCCAAGTTTTACCAGGTGGATGTTTAGGCCTTATTTCGTGTTAGCTTTGGGTGGAAGGTCCTCTTTGAGCTTCAGACTGTCCCTAGTTGTTTTTCTTTTATTATAGTTGGGCCCGTTGGCGTTTTGTTTGCTAGAAATGAGAGCCCCATGCCCACCCCTCAGTTGGACTCCTTTTGGAACTCGCAGTTGTCTCTGGATCCTGGGTCTCTCAATGAACAAAAAAGTATATTTTTGTACTCCCCTTTAAATCCTTTGTTCTGGCTGTTCATTGAGGGTAACCGGTTTCTATTCTTTGCACTGCTTTTTCAGTTTTGCGTTGCTTTTTTAATATGACACTGAAAAAAAAATGATAAAATTTAAGGGTTTAATAAAAAAAAAAAAAAGTTAATATGGTTAGAAAAAAAAAAAAAATCAGTCTGAAAATAATCGTGTCTTAAGGTGTTAATTGGGGCTTATTAGGGTGAACTAAGGGTCAATGGGTTAAATAGGAACACATTTTATTGAAAACAATTTTCCTACATTGCATTAACCCTTTTCGCTGCCAATGTCTTTTTTTTTTGCAGATGCTATAATCCACATTTTAGGCCTAAAAATTACTTAAAACATCAGCGGCTTCCGCCCGGCTTCCCCCTGCCAGCCGACATGAGGGGCAGCGGAGCCTGGGAAACAAGGCGGGTGTGTCAGGCAGGGTGAGGGGCGCACTATCTCGGCCCCTGGAAGCGTTCTGGAGGCAGCTGAGCCGCCGGAATCACTTCCAGTGTAAAGTCGACAGTCGGCTTTACAAATATGAACAGAGCCCCAGACGCTCTTTTTAAAGGCGCCCGTTACCACCGATGCATGACGTGGCAGCGAAAGGGTTAACTGATGCCATACTGTATGCAAACTAAAGGTCATTTCTTTGATCTGCAGATCTATGAAACAGATATAAAAGTAACAATGTGTCAGACTATCTGTTTTTTGATGGCATCAGTTTCTGTAGCTGTAGTAAGTTGAGTGTCCTCATTTGCATGTAAGCTTACAAAAACCTTAACAGATTGTTATAGTGGCTAGTTATTAAATGTAGTTAAATTTTTTTGTGGTAGGTATAAATCAAATGAAGAATATGTATATGTGCGAGGAAGAGGAAGAGGAAAATACATTTGTGAAGAGTGTGGAATAAGATGCAAGAAACCCAGCATGTTAAAGAAACACATTCGTACACACACAGACCTCAGGCCATACCACTGCAACTACTGTAACTTCTCCTTCAAAACAAAAGGTATGCAGTCCATATTATCTACTGTTGTCTTCCTCAGATTCATTTTTTTTTTAATCCCAAACTTTGGCCACACATGGTACTACTTTCACAGCCTCTGTCTGTAGTGCTGCTGTTAATCAGTAGATTTTGCTAGAAACATATACCATACACCTACATTGTAGCATTTGTATTTTCAATTGTGACACCTAATGGTGTAGCTCCAAAATCTCTACTTCTTTTCACCTTCTACAACATCCAAACAAAATTTACACCACACCTTGCAGACTAAATTAAGTTTGTCTTTGTTGTTGACTTGGATGCTTTAGCAACACATTACAAACTTCGTTCCTCTTGCTGTTTTTTTGTAGCCATTGCTTCCACCTGCTGGATGCCCTAATTAATACACATGCACCATCACAAAGGATCCTACACTTACGGCATGTGGGCTTACCCCTGAACTGATTTTGAGACAAGTGAGGGATACGCCAATGTATTTTAATTTAAACCACTAGATTTAGGGCGTATTCACCCAAAAAGCTTTCATTAACACTGTTTGCATCACTTTTTCTGCTTTTGAAAGGCTTCTTATGAGTTTGTCTGATCCCCATATATATTTTGGCACCAAATTGCACAGTAACATATGTGTTGAGAATAAACCCCCTGTGATTTTGTTCACAGGTTATTTTTCTAGGACTCCAAGTTCATTTCACATAATAGGCAACATATAGTTAGACATCATTTATGATTTAAATGCAGTATAACATATTTTTTCTGAGAAGACATTTAACTCGGGGGGGGGGGGATAATTAAGCCTGATTTACAAATTCTCATAATTCCAATGAAGAGAAAGTTATTGAGTGTGAATGACATTTTAAAATGGAATATTAATTAATTTGGTAAATCAAAGTAAAACACAAACAAGTGTCATGCTGACTGGACTAAGCATCCTTTTTATGTTAAAAGTAATTAAAAATAGTCTAATGTGGCAGTAATCCTTACTAATGAATCAAAAATATTTTTTTAACTATGCACCATAGTAGCTAAGGACAATAGGATTTTATGTAATTTTAGAGAACATTGTAAATACAGTACATGATCCTTATAATTAATATAATTTGAGAGCGAGTGTGGTATTTTGCTGCAAGTATCACTTTCATGTATCCACTTAAAATAATTCTACTATATGTTTTGCAGGCAATTTGACAAAACACATGAAATCCAAGGCTCACAGCAAGAAGTGTATGGATATGGGAATAGTAGTTGGCCCCGTGGATGATCAGGATACAGATGATTCTGGTAAGTTATTTTATATGATATATTTTTCTCTAAATACCCTGAAGCGCTTTGAGTTTGCTTGTGAGATTCCAACTGATGGCGTTAAAGCTGACATCCATTCATTGATAAAAACAAATCCTTGGGCCAAGCTTATCAATGAATTATTAATTCCTTCTTCTCCTACATGGCTCATTACTTCACACTATTAGAGTATAAAAAACAGTCTGAGAAACAGATTAACATCTGTTGTGAAGGAAGATGGTGACACCACTATGTTGTATTTCATATACAACACATTTTTTAAGAAGCTTTAATTCTAACATTTTACATTTTATTTCCAATGGTACAAACACAGTGAAATAACCTCCATAACAGCAAAAAGACAAAATATAAGCACTTTGCTAAACATGAATTGAAGGAAGAGAAAAAGCAAAAGTGATTAGCAGATGGTTGGCTATCTGTTATGCGTCTAATAGCATGATGGGGAAAGATGGTTAAAAATTATTAGAATGCCTTCTACAGTCCCAAACGCATCAAAAATGTGTTCAGCTGTTGTGCTTGCACTGTGCTTGACAAAAGAGCCAAGTGCACACATACAGTGGAACCCATACTTTTAGGGGTCAGTTACCCCAGCCAGCACAAATTGGGGTGGATGTGCTTTCCAGCTGCAGCTGAGTGTAGCTTGCCTATTGCAATGGGGCAATGGCCCGCCATTTACCCATGTAAGTTCAGTCAGACTTATAATAGCCATTGCAAGATAGATTCAGCAATTTAATGAAAATTATAATTAAGTCCTCATTCACACCTAGCGTTTTGTAGCGATTTTTCTGCGCTAAAAAACGCCCAAAACAAAATCCCATTAATTTCTATGGCCATTCTCACATCTGAGCATTTTGTCGCTTGTAGCAAAACGCCTGTCGCTGGAAAAAATACAGATTAAGCGACTTCTTGACCCCATAGACTTCAATGGAAACACTCAAAACCGTGCGTTTTAAAATGTTCACCCATTTTAATGCTCGCAATGTGTGATTCTGGCCAGAATCGGAACGCACTGCATCTGTTGTGAACGGGCCCTGAGGCAACCATTCAGTGAAGTTAGTTTGTGAAAAATCAATTCTCAATGATAATTGAGAAAAATCAATTCTCAATGATGATTTGAATCATATCGCATGATCAAATCATCATATGTATGGCATACATAAAATAAACAGTGGTTCAGGAATCCGAACCCTAGGAATATTTTTCTCATAATCTCTGTGGCTGCATGTATATTTGACTAGCAGACTGCCTCCTAACAAAACAAGACAAAGCTTACCAATTTCACTCATGTTCACACTCCCTTCTGCGTTCATTAACCTAAAAACAAAATTGTGATATATTTCAGCTTACCAGTCCTTAGATGGGCGACTGAATTATTGTTCTTTTTTTTTCCCCCCATCTTGTAATCCTGCCGTGCTTCCTGTCCTAGGATGACAACACTCACTCACTGTACTGCATTTATAGTACAGTACTGTATTTATAGAGGAGCAATGTTCTCACTCTATGATAGCATTGCAGGACTACAGAATTTCTCCCCTCTTCTCATCTCCAAAACAAAGGGGAAGGTTTTCTGTCCTAACACACTCCCTGATGACCTTGTTTGAGATAACACAGGAAGTGTGCACAGCACTGAATTTCTGGGCAGATCAACTGGTTCTTGTTTTGTTTTTTTTACTTATCAAACGGATACAACTAAATGCTTTTAATAGTATATTTACCAGACCAAAGGGGAGCAAATAAGGGAACTTCATTGTTAAGGGTTTATATACACTTTAAACAGAAATATTTATTGCAAACTATACCTGTTTATGCTTCAGCTGCCCTATTGTTCGACCGTTCTCCTTATCTGTGGCTGGTATTTTTCCCCTCTGTAAAGAGCCTGATATTTGTGATTTCTTTACTACTATAAACAGCTTTCTAGGTCTTTGTATCACTAATTGGCCCCTACATTCAGATGCAGATGCTGAGCATGTAATATAGAAGATGATCGCTGCCTTGTGGATCTTTAATAGTGCACTATAGAACCCTTTTCATTTGCTGTTATTAACTAATATTCTTAATTACCTATTTAACTGAATACTTTATATTAGCGAAAGTATTCACTTTACGTTTAAATGCCACACTTCCCAAAGTTTCACAGATCCTGAGAAATTAATTTTAATCAGCATTAGGATAATTTATTAGAACTTACATTTATAATCAATGCTTATATTCTCAACAACCTAATATTATATATTATTCATTTAGACCATATACCTTTCTTCCATTCCTATTAATTTTTTTATTCCGTTTATTGAGCTCAAACAGTTATAAACAATTATTAAACTGTTTGAATATGAACAGTAACAATTAATATGCAAAAGCATATGAAAA